GGTCCACAGTGACACCCAGGTCCACAGTGACACCCAGGGTCCACAGTGACACCCAGGTCCACATGACACCCAGGCCACAGCACCCCGACAGCTCTGGGTCCCCAGGCTGGCAACTACCCTGGTGGCAAAAGCGTGGGTCAGGGAGGCCAGTAGCCCCTTCTCCCAGCGGGCAGAGACCTGTGGGTCCCGGAGGGAGGAGGCCATGCCCTGCAGTGGCCCTGGCTGCCGTGATCTGAGGACACAGCCCAAGGGATCTCGGAGATCACGGCACCCGTCCTCCAGGGCAGCCTCCCTGTCCCTGGCCGACCTCGGGCAGCCCCCAGCCAGCCCCGCTGCCTTCCCCTTCCRTCCTCTGCCCAAGCGCCTGGGCAGCCCCAGAGGCCAGAGGCCGGACTCTGCTGCCGACTCCAGGAAGCAGGCGAACGTCCTCCCTCGGTGGCTCCTGGAAACCAGCAGAACCCACAGCTCTCGGGCCAGTTCCTGGCACGGGCCTGCTGACCAGGAAGAGCCTCGCGGGCTGCGGAAGCCACGTAATGTGTGATGGCCACACTGGTGACAGTGCTGAGTTAGCCCAGGTCCACTGCGTGACCCGTGGTGGCCACCAAGGAGTAAAGCGTCCCATGGAGCGGGGCTGGGAACACTGAGGGCAGAGTGATGGCCAGGCCCACGCAGACCTGGAGGCCCTCGCAGACCTGGAGGCCCACGCAGACCTGGAGGCCCACGCAGACCTGGAGGCCCGCGCAGACCTGGAGGCCCGGCTTCCCTGAGGTGAAAGGCCCGCCGCCGCCGCAGTCTCTGGGGGCCCTGAGGTGCCAGGTGAGCCTCCTGCTGCCTGGGACCCGCCTAGGTGACCAGGCCCAGGGAGCCCCGTGAGCAGCCTCCTCCCTGTGGCACCTCTTCAGCAGCCGAGCAGGCCCTGTGGCCACTCAGGAAGGAAGAGCCAGCCGCAGCGGGGGGCTTCAGTGGAGCGTCACGAGACCCCGTTGCTCCCGCCCACAGGGCCTCCCCACGAGTCTGCCCTCGTCCTCTGCCCCAGCACTCACTGTCACTCCTTCCACTATCTCCCCCCTGAGCCACGTGGGCAGGTCCGTGGCGCTGCCCTCTTTCTCCATCCCCAGAGAAGGGGACCGAGATGTGCGGCCGAGCATCCTGCCAGGGAGGCCCTGCCCTGAGGCCACCAGCCCGTCCACCAGGTGTTGACCTGTGGTGAAACCTGAAGCCCGGGCGCATCGCTCCCTCCTCTCCCCAGACTCGGGCACCCACGAGGCCCCCGCGGAGGCCCCCGGTGGCCTGGTGYCTGGAAGCAGTGCAAGCCTCGTGGGTCTCTTGGCTCAAGATGGGCGCAGCCTGGGAGGAGAGGGACCTGGGCTAACTGTGTCCTGGCCCCGCTGTGTCCCCGGCATTTCCAGCTGCCTCTCCCTGGGTGGCCAGAGCCTGCAGCCCCGTGCGCAGCGCCTGCCCCAGCAGAGGAGCACCGCTGAGCCTCCAGCGAAGGTGTGCCCTTTACTAARTGGCCAGGGACACACAGGACAGCCCTGACCCAGGGGGATGACCCAGCATGATGAGATGGCAGGAGGTGGACATGCGCAGACACGGAGGAGGGTGAGGAAGAGCAATGCTCCAACCAGGCTCAGGGGACACAGCAAAAGCCCCCTGCGTCTCCACCCGGGGTCGTGGGATGATCTGGCAGGTACTACAGGTGGCCCACGAGGGCCGCGGGTGGCTCAGAGGCAGAGCACGTGCGAGGCCCGGCCTGGCGCTCCCTGGCCCTGTCGGAGCCTCTCCCCGGAGCTCAGGGCTCAGTGGGTGGCCCAGGGCCTGTGGGGAAGCAGGGAGCAGGGAGCGGCTCCCAGTGCTGGGCACACTAGTCCTTTCTCAGAGATGTGCCCACCTTTCCTTCCAAGGGGCTCTGGGTGGCCGAGACGGGAGCCAGGTGAGGGCTGGCCCCTGGGGTYGCCTCTGCTCACCGGGGCTGAATCTTCCCCATGATCAGATCACTGAGTGTTTTTTGAGCTGCTAYCTGTTTTGGTCCCAAGCACCACACGGTCAGCTGGTGACCTCCTCCTGGTGCAGTGGGAAGTTCTGACCTACAGACACTAACCACGGGGCACAGGGGGGACAGCTGTCCGGGTCTGTCCAGAGGAGGGCTGGTGACGGATGGCACTGGGTACACACCTCGGGCCTGCTGGATTCCTCGGATTCCTTTCTCTGCATCATCCTGGGGAACTCACGGGCCACCAGTGAGTCTAGTCTCTGTCAGACGGTTGAGGAGATGACGGCAGCACTCCCGGTGCCCAGGCTCGGGCACAAAGCCAGGATCGCCCATGGATGCACCTGTGCTAGGTAATTTTAGCTGTAGCTTCATGTAATGAAAACTCAAAATAGCAGTGGCTTCTGTGAAATTTTTCATTCTTCTCTCTGAAACCCAAGAGAGAAGGTGGTCTCTCTGGAGATAGGCTCCTTCTCTCTTTACACTACCTTAGTGCGCGACTGTCGTCCTCGGGATGACCTCGTGGCCCACAGGACTACTGGGATTCCAGCCATCACTTCCACCTTTCACCCTACCTGCTTCCTCCTAGTGCCACCCCGCCCTGGCCGGCCTACGTGGCTTTCAGCCTTCTTAGTGCTCGGTTGCATAAGAGATCTATCGGCATGTCCCCGCGTCCCTGTGTGCAGTCCATGACTCAGGATCTGAGCTTGTCCTCTGACCTCTCCATCCCACTCCAGTGGCTGGATGTCCTTGGTCTTCCCCTGACCCCAGGGCTGCAGCGTGTCCTCCACACTCACGTCCAGCGGGAGCTTCTTCCCGGGTACCGTAGGCTAGAGCAGCCCTTGGGCAACGGCAGACCCCCAGGAAGCAGTGGGGGTTTTCAAAGCTGTTCTGTGGGTATCACGTGGGCTGTGTGGCGGAGCACAGTGAATTTCTACCTCACTTTATCTTTTTTGCAGAACAGGGTATGGCACACAGTGCCCTCAACCACTAAGCCAAATCCCCG